CATTGATGTTTAATCAAAGCTTACCCAAAATTGTTTCCTACCTAGCTGGTGTCTTTGATTCTTTGACACAATTCTTATGAGTTCTTCGCTGTGTTCGACAATCTGTCATTCCATTACTTTAATTTGTTGCAAATAAATATCGAAAATTTATGCTTTGGTTTGTCCTTTTTGTTGACTTTCCGTGTCAATGGTTCTTCTTCTCTGTGTACCTTACCCAATCCGTATGCTACTGGAGCTCTTGCATCCTTTCGTATGATCGAATTCATTGTCCATTTGTCGATTTTCTCGTTCATATTCATTTTCTTCAGCATTTCTTGCAGTGACCTTTTGCTGACAGTCAAGAAAATGTAGTGTACCCGAGAATATTTTTCAATATATCTGTATATTCCTTCCTGTCCATAACCACTGTGACACCTGTTTTATCGGCTTGTAGGACTATTTAATCGTTTCTTTTTAATTCTCTTTATACCTTGATTATATTGTCCCTATGTGTGGGTTCTTGCTGCGCAAAGATGGTTGTTGTGGGTTCCATTTCCAGCTCTCTATTTAATTTTTTACGTAGCTTCTCAGAGGTATTCATTACCTCCACTAAAATGTCATCGACAGGCTTCCTTTAATTCCGAAGTGCAAAATGTAGTCCATTCTGGTGGATCTCTGTGGTTTTCAGGTCAAGACCGACGGAAGACAGATTCACTATTTTATCTTCATCTCTTGTATGGACCGTGAAAACTGTCATTATAAAGTCCTTTTCGCTTATTTCGGGTACTTGAACCTTTGCCTGCCTATAGATTCCATATTTATTCAGCTTATTCTGGTGCCTTTTTTCGGTCAAGTTAGATATCCTATTGGACATTTTGTATGTCATCTTCTGTAGTTTCAGGAAATTCTCCGGGGTGAGAATCTGACCTAAATCATGCCTGAGTCTAAAAATAATATCTATAAATTTAAATTATTCTTTCCTCTTTCTTTCATATGTCTCCTCTAATTTTTACAAATAGGCTAGATATAATATATCATTAATTTAATCATAATGATATTTTCTCATCAAATGTCAAAAGTAGAAGGGATGCCATAATGTTTACAATAGTTAAGTAAGGTCAAGCATTGCCTAATGTTCAGGAGAATATTGTAAGAGATCATTGATTAACTGGGTTTCGTCCTCATAAAAGGATGTCTTAGTACTACCCTTTTAAGCTTGGTTAAAATGATTATTTACTTAAACTCCGGGGTACATTTTTAAGTAAGTTGGTGCAATTGCTTTATCCTTTCTTTATCAAAAGTGTGGATAAGTTAACATTACCTCTAGCGGTTCTTCGCATGTATTAATTATGATCATATTATTTTTAAACTCGTACTATGAAAATATCACTATGTTATAACGAGGATTTGCTTCGGTTTTCCATTAAGCGTCGAATTTAAAATCATCTGAAATAGTTACATTTCCTTTGTATTCCTTCCTTTTTCCCAACTATGGGGAAATTTTCGTTCTCGTCGTTAGCCCTATTGCTATAAGAAATTTAAACTGAGACAGAGTTTTATCATCTACTAAGTTAAGTCACAATTTTTAAGTAACCGCTATTATATATGGCCAGCTTATTGTTATGACATTCTTGGCATACATCTTAATTTGGTTTCCTGTGCTTATTTTAGGATAATCTGGCATACTTCCTTGGACCAATAAACAATATAATATATGAATACAAAAAGAATCAGAACTTTTCCTATATTATTATTAGTATTTAAGAGTTTTTAGTTTTGATGATTTAACAATAATATGTAAGCTTCCCCCTGTTCATTCTTTATCAGCTCCACCTGGCGGATTTTTATCCAGCGCGTGTTTCTTGTTGCTATAATCTCACGTTATGCCTCTCAGTTCATGCCCAGACGATAATGTAAAACTCCTCCATATCTCCCTAGATGGATTAAAAGCCAAGCTATGTTCTGAACTTAGTGTTTATCATGCAAAATTTGCCACAGTGAGCGAAGTAATAAACGAGCTTGCGTTGGAATATGAAGAGCTTAGCCAGACTATCAGTGAAGCGCACAAAAGAGCTCACGATGTATAACACTCATGCTTCCTTTCTCTTAGTCTGTACTTGTCCGTGATTATGATTGCGATTTTTGTCATTCTTTCAGATAATGCCAGCCCTTGCGAATGCGTCTAAAGACCTACTTTCCAACGGTCCGGATGAATCAGGCCTCTCTGCAAACTTGTCACAATTGGAATTCCTAACTAAGGCGAGAGCTACTGGGGCTTATTTGCTTCAAGTGCACACGTGTCTTCAAAGCCTGATAAAGAATATATCAAGTTTTAGAAATAGAATCGGTGGATGTAACATTTTGGCTGATGTTGTTGAGTTTGGTGATTTCGACAACGCTTTTCTAAGCCGTTCACCAACTTTACATCCATTGGATAAGGAAAGCGAGTACGTATATAGCCATTGGTCAAATTATAGTGTGAATTTCATTTGGCTTTACTTGACACCTATTTTAGGATTTTAATCGATTCAATTGCAAATGACTTAATGACCGTCTCAGATGCATTTACACATAATCTCCCTGCTGATATATCAAAAGAAGAATTTATCTGTCTCCGTTCTATGCTAAGTTGTTTCTCTTCCCACAAGGTAGTTCAAAACGAACCTTGAATGCTTTTTATTCCTGATTACTAACTTCTATTTACACTAGGCTCAGATGATAAACTACGTAGACAGGCTTTGGCGACAAGCAGTCACCTTCAGAACATTCAAGGCTTCTGATTCGTGCGACCTTGGTGACCGACCATTTTGGGCATTTACAAAACCCACTAGGGATTTTGCTGACTCGATCTCGAATAATAGCTCCGGCGATGAGTCAGATGCCAAGACGAGTGAACTAAATGGAGAAGCTTGTGAATCATCTGGAGATGATATACTCTTTAACAAAACAAATAATTCCATAAATCAGACACGTTTTCTCTCTCGGCTGACGGTAACTACAAATTACTCGCATCTGAAAAATCTCCTCACCTTAATGACTGCTTTGAACATCGAGAAGGTATTTATTTTTTTCTATTATTTTAAAAAATACTTACCAATTTACTTTTAGCTTTTCATTACTCGATTATCGGATAATATATGGAAGCATATGTTTCTTCCATGGTTAGAACTCACCGAGCATAGTCGCATTAGATGGCGATTCTTCCAGGTAGTTACTCGTCCTTTCTAATCTGGTTAATCCTTATCTTGACAGCTGTCTCAAACCTAACCTTTTCTTTATTGTTGTATTCCAGTCATCTACTTTCTCTTCTCAAAATATTTGGCAACTTGACCTTCTCGAAGCTTTTACCTCAAATGGGATCCCATTTGCAAGCCATCCTCATGCTTCGCATTCCAAACTTACAACCTCTCTTGTCCGCTTGAGATCCGTACTCACTGACCTACACACTCATCTTTTCGGGCTTCCTCTTCCAGCTGAATCTATTACGAAAAAGGCCTCGAAGCTATCTCATCTTGAAGATATAAGTATTTTTGATTCAGAAGGTCGGCCTCGAAGAGTGATCGACATTGCCGTAGCTTCAGTAAGTAAGACTTTATTTTTATAACATTTCTTCCTATCGCAAATGGTCATTTTGCACTATTTTCTTGTATGAATCCTGCCCTCTAACACTAATTGCTTCCTTTGATGCTATCGTTGAAGTAAATCCTTTAAAACATATTTGATGTGAATTGGTTCTCAAATTATATCTCAGTAAAGCCTATTTAAGCTGATCAATACAAATTAGAGGCTTGATTAATGGTTTAAACTTTTATTAACCGTATTTAAATTTCTTGGGTCTAGAAGACTTCGGCTGAAATAGTCTCTTTGATGACAAACAACTTTTAGTTTATTTTTTTCGAGTGCTCTTTAAAACTTATGATTTTTTCTTCTTTGGTCCTTAAATTTCCATTTATTTTATTAAGTATGCGTATTTTGTAATGATCAAGGCCATTTTGACATGCATCATCACCTTCGACTATTCGCAGTGATTGCGGCCGTTGTTTAAGGAACACTCGTCTGACTTTAAAATAATCACATAGATACCTTAAAAACGTACACAGGAATGTACTAGATCACTTACCTGAATAGATTTTAATCAGGAAGCCCTATATCTTAAAAATACAACCCAATATCGTTAGTGACTGGACTAGTGGGAAGTCTAGAATCATCACTTATAATATTAAACCGTATAGTCTCATTCTTTTGCGACTTTCCCTACCAGATGAATATTGGTTGCCATTTCTAGTGTGATGGTGCTTCTTTTTGGATTTTACTTTGGAAGTAGTCGAAGTCTGATGCCTGATTCCGGGAGCAGCACTAACCATATCATTTATTAAATATGCTCCGCAGCAGTGCGCTATTGGCTAGTATGTATTTGGCCACCTTAGATATATGCTTCAGATAATCCTGCAGCTTATTAGTCCATATATTTTTTCAACTACGGATAATTCTCTTTAGGGGAGGTCTGGGGATGTTGGAATGAGGTAGCCCACAAACATTTATATCAACGCGTCTAGGATGCAAATATGCTTCATTATTCTTAGCAAAATATCGTAAACTTTTGTTATATGGCTACCTTTGTGAGTGCCTTAGTATACTTCTAGAATGTTGGTTATTGTAAGTTACTTTATTTATCTAAAGCTTAATGGTTGGGTTGTGCTGATAGTATTGGATTTAAAATAGTTTTACTTTTGCTCACTAACCTAGGTTTAATCAACGGCTCCAACAATCTTATAGACTAGAGCATGGTCTTTCAATCGGCACCATGTTACCACTTCAGTTATTATATTGCCAATACAGCACTTACTAGTCGAAGCGTCTAGTTTAAATCATTTGATCTTTTTGAATTGTTGCAAACATTATGATATCGCTCTCTGGTTCTGCGATCTAATGAGGAAGTGTAATTCGGACATGGTTAATGGAATACTTTAACACGCCCCCATTCGAAAATTAGAGGAAAGTTACGAGACTGAGAGGAGTAGGTTATTTAAATTCATTGATATTAAGTCTAGATTAATGGAGGATCTAGACAGGGTTCTCACCTCGGATGATTCGTAATAACTCCAGAGTATGACTGACCAGAAGTCACAAAGGGTCCGGGATTTGATAACTAAGCGGCATGACAAGAAAGTGCCTAGCTATCGGATAATAAGACAGCGCAAAACCAAGCCAACCCGGGCAAAATTTGATGGTTCTGTATTGAAGGCATCAACTACTGCAAATGACGATGGGGATAAGGTAATAAACCTATCCTCAATCCTTGATCTTAAAAACATGGATCTCCTAAAGAAGGGGTTAAATTCTTCAAGTAACGAAGAAAACGTTCTTTGTGGTATTATTATGAAAGTTGTCAAAATATTAGATCAATATCGAGAAGGGACAAAATGGGAGATGGAAATGATACTAGGACATCAAGAACCGACACACGGGGACGGATTTACTGATTTACGGAAACAATTACAAAAAAAATGATCAAATATTTATTAGGGCGGAAAAGGGGAAGCAGCGATTGTAATGGACAGGAAACATTACACGGACAAAATAGAAAGTATCCTAGGCGACCGGAACACTTTTCAAATACTAAGGAAGAGTCCAACCATGAAGATCA